CAGCCCGCCTCAGCGAGGAGCAGCGGCGCCTGGTGGAGAACACGGAGGTGGAATGTTATGACTCTCTCACGGGTATGCGGCCGGCCGTCGGGAGCGCAGAGGGTGCTGAGGCGACGGGGTGGGAGTGAGGGGCAATCCTGAGGCCTTGGGCGGGGAGGGGCGAGCGGAGGCTTGAAGGGACCAGCGCTGGGGTCTGTGGGGGAGACATCAGAACTTACCAAAGAGAGGGCTTGGGGAAGGAGGGACCACGGGGACGGGAGGCGCTGGGATGCAGGAAATGGGCTTTGGGCTGCCACCGCGAACCTCAGGTGAGAAAGCCTTGCCCTGGGTGCGCCATTGAAAGCCTCATCCCCCGCCTGAGGTCGCCCTCAGTACTATCCCCCACCCTCCCCACTACGAAAATAGCCCGAGCGCTAGTCTGTTTTTCACACCCTCTAGCGGCAGTGCAGATTGATCCCATTCTGATTGGTCAGAGGCTCGGCAGCCCCTGGTGGCCTGAAAAAGCCCTTAGGCCCGGCTCAGCCGTGGGAAAGGGTGGGGATTCCCTCGCAGCCTGAAATCCATGCTCCTCGCGGTCATGTGAAGTCTGGGGTTGCCGGCAGGCTCTGAGAGCCCGGGTCCCGGTGCCCCGCAGCCTGCCTGCTGCAGTCGGAGCTGGTGAATTATGAGCGGGTGCGCGAGTACTGTCTCAAGGTGCTGGAGAAGCAGCAGGGCAACTTCAAGGCCACCTACCGCGCTGGCATTGCCTTCTACCATCTGGGTGACTACGCGCACGCATTGCGCTACCTGCAGGAGGCCCGAAACCGGGAGCCCACAGGTGAGGGGGGTGGGGGCTGGGCGGAGCAGGGGGAGGGGCTGGAACAGAGCAAACAAGGGCAGGAAGGCCAGGGCACAGCTACTTCAGGGAGTGCTGGACCACACACCCCACCTCCACCTCCTCCTACTCCCCCACTCATCCACCCACCCATGCTTCCTGGATATTCACCCAACCACCTCTCATCTATTTATTGACTCATTTTGATGCTTCCAATTTAGCCCATTCCCTATGCACTCACTCCATGCCCCCCCAGCACACATTCACACATTCATTCACCCACTCCCTCACTCACCCACTCCCACATCCACCTGTTCTCCCAGCCACCACGTGTGAAGCACTTGCTGGGAGTTAGACCCCCGGGTGGGAAATGGCAGGACATTTGCTGGGGGTGGGACAGGGGGTGGCAGAGCTGGAGACTGGCTCCTTGCCCTCTGGGGTGTGTTGGTGTGCAGACAGACACAATAGGAGATTCTGGATTAAGAGCCAATGAAGAGGAGCACAGCCTGCAGGATATGGGCTGTGGGAGTGGAGCTGGTAAGTGGTTGGAGAACGGGCTTTGCAGATGTCACTGGAGGTAAGTAGAGTGTAACAGGAGTCTGAGCAGAGCAGTCCTGGCAGGGGAATAGCAAATGCTACTCTGGAGGTGTGACATGCCCCCTCCCTTGTTGGGTCTCGGGCTTTTGAAGAAGGGGTCTGGCAATACCAGCTGGGGAGCCACGGAAGGCTGGGGACAGTGAGGTGTGAACTGAGGTGCTGCAGACGTCACCCAGGACACCCAGATAATGCCCTGCCCACCCTCCCTGCAGACACCAATGTCCTGCGCTACATCCAGTTGACCCAGCTGAAGATGAGCCGATGCAGCCTGCAGAGGGAAGACAGTGGGGCCCAGCCTCGGGATGTCATTGGCTGAGGCCAGCCTATGGGGACTGTCCCTACCCCCACTCTCTCCCATCTCACTGTGTAACTTTCCTGACTCGTGTGTTGGCTAGTAAAGCACTTATCATAACCTCTTTGTGTGATGTTCTTGTGGGAACCAGGGAGGGGACAGGCCTGGGCTTCACCCTCTGGACCTCAGAAATCCAGAGGGGCCCAGGAGGAAGCAAGGGTGGGGGAAACCCTAGGGGATGAGCCAGGATTAGGGAAAGATACACAGCAAGCATGGCAGGGGGCAGGGGTTACCTTTAATGCTGCATTTTGTGCCAAATCCCCCACATTGCCCTGTCCCTGAGTATCCCTGCCCACCTTCCCCCCCATGCTGCAGGGCAAGCACAGGGTACAAAGGAATAAATTAAGTGTTCTTCCCACTCCCCTTCCCCAATAAATAGAGTATCCTGCCCAGGGCCTCCCCTGCCTTGTGGCCTGGTGGGCTGGGGCAGGGCCTGGGGTGCTACATTCATGGCTGCCCAAGCGGGTGGCAGTGGGCAGGCCTCAGCGGGAGCCACGGGCCCCACACAGGGGCACTGTACCGTCCTGGCTCTGCCCCTCCATGTCCATGTCAAGCAGCGTGGGCTGCATGCTGGGGGGCCCGGGGCTCTCTGGAGTGTCCAGCCTATTGGGAGGCGAGATGCTGAGTGTCCGGCCGAAGGAGACCAGTTTCCAGGGTTCCAGGCAGGGGCGGCTGGCAGCAGGCCGGGGTCTTGGGGTGAAGGTCAGGGTGGTGGGGCGGCCAGGAAACTCGGGGGGCTGGAGGTGGGTGGGAAATAGAGCCTGGGGTGTAGGCAGGTGGGGGAAGTCCAGGGGATCTCGAGGGCCTGGTAAGAGAGGATCAGAGGAGGTGAGTGAGGTGGAGCCAAGGGTGGTATTGAAAAGCCAGGAGCATTGACATGAAAATTGGAATTTCTGACTTTTCTCAAAAAACCTGCTGGAGAAAAAGCCCTCATCCTTCCCAGATCTCTTACACTGGGCTAAGGTCAGAAAGAGAGCTCAGAGCTACGGAGGCCTGAGGCAGGATAGCATCTCTAGATGGGCTAACAGCGCCTCCCCACATGGGTGAGGAGTAGGTCCAATAACAATGGTGAGACTAGCTCAGTGCCTGATAGGAGGTACCTAACTCCTTTATGTTTCGGTCTCTTTGTAGGTTCAACAAAAGCACTGAGAACAGGGCCTGGCGCATGGCTGTTTGCTATAATTCTTTGTGTTAGCTCTAGGTATTGCCATCATTAATGTCACCTGCTTGGCCCCTATGGGCATTAGAGTTTGTAACCTCTGCTTCATCCTGTGTCACAATCACCTGGGGCCCCACAGTGCCTCTAGCAGTGGGGGCCAGGGGGACACAGCCCTTCACCCCCTGCTGGGCAGGAGACGGCCACCTCGGCATCTCAGGGTGGCAGCTGGGCTGGGACATCGGACCTTGGAAGGGCAGGGAAGAAGGGCCGTTTTCTGCACACGGGGCACAGGGTGCCTCACTCACCAGGGCCGGGGCCTGTGGGCTCTGGCGCCCCCCGCTGCCCTAGCGCCCCATCCGAGGGGGTCCTCCGGTGCCCGCGGTTCACAGCGCGTGTGGCAGTGACTGTGACGTGGGTGGGCGTCAGTGACTGGCGGGGGTCCTTCTTGAAACTCTCCAGCTCCAGATCCACCAGGGGGTTGGTGTTGGGCGAGGGCTCAAGAGGAGAGGGCGTCGGGGAGGGTGCGGCTGGCGCAGCCTCGTCGCTGTCGGAGCGCAGCAGTGAGCGCGTGGAGTTGCAGTCGGACACGGAGGACAGCGATAC